CGATACACTTATCGCAGTATAATTACGCCACTTTATACCGCACTTAATATCATTGGATCGCGAGTAATATTATTTCACCACGTTTCGACCGAAACCGAAAAACCTTGCGGTTTCTTATTTCTCCAAAGACATAAAAAAAAATAATAAATCCAACATAGATAAATAGAAACAAACACGCGCCGATACCGATATCTTTTTCTATGAAATTTAACTCGCTTTGCTGAGCACTACAGCACACGGCACGCGCGCGCAAACCAATAAACATTTCCGAGCGCAATTTGTGCGTACACGAGTAATAATATAAAGCCGACACTCGTAAAATCGAAATGTGTGTCAGTGGAGTGGAGACTAATACACGATCGGCATTAATCGATAGAAATTCATACATTATAAGATCGGTAATTCTAGATCGCTATGCCCTATACATAAAGCAGTGCGGCGATAATTCGCGAGTATCGAATTACTCTCTTTCTCTCTCTCGACGTATAGTTGTGCCCGATGGTATTCCGATGAAATCGTTTCGAACAATGGGTTGGTATATAATTCGTTGCGCAATCCGGGACCCCAGCTGGTCACGGATAACATAATCGAGTCATTGGTCGCGATCGATGATCGGTATGTACTCACGCCTCGTGCTCACGCGTGCTTGGGCACTGTCATTATACACGCAGCGGAGAGAGTTGTGGTATATACTAAAGCAATACAAACGTAATAACGCTCGTTTACTCCGCCTCAAAGTGCCTCAATTTGCTTTTAGAGATTATGCGTGTAAAGTACAGCCTATATACACAGTCTCGTTTCTACCAAAGTTGCACGTATCGTATACGAGAGTGCTTCGATCGAGGAAGCGAGGAAGTCTACCGGTCGCCAGGAGCATAGTCGACTCGTCTTAGCACCGCAGCAGCGAACGGTTGCAGGCGCACACGCACGAGGCAAAGAAATGAGCCGTGACCAAGTCACGTGCCCGGTATATACGGCAAAAAGTCGCTCGCGCGAGTGCACTCGCGTTCCGATATAGCTGCAGCGAGTGACTTGGCTCTCGCGCAGACGAAGAGCCTATACGTAATGGATTAGCGAGAATTCGTCGACCGTCGCGATCGTTTGAATAATTCATCTCGTGGTACCTTTCCCGAAGCTCGCCCTATACCTTTCGCGATTATTACGCGTTGAACGATCGCAACGCGTATTTTTTATGCGACCGGTATAACGTGTTTATTGTTCTGGAGCTTGCAATAGTACAGTCGAGTATGTGTATAAGTATACGTGTGCGCGTGGAGATCGAAAAAAACGAACGATGCCGGTGACGAAATTCAAAACGAACCGCGACGACGCAAAATTTTGTAATAATGTATAAAGTGACGATCGACGTTCGCGGTGAAATACAAGTACACTCGAATTAAACGCAGTCGCGAGTCATCCGATATTTGCGCACACACAGCAATGTATATAGGCACGAAATGTGCGCGCAGTATTGATGCGTGCACGCGGCGAGAGAACTTATTTACGAGAAATAGCTTATTTACGGGTGTATTAAAAGAAAGGAGAGAATTAGATTTCGGACTTTTTTGAGGATGATAAGAAAAAAAAGATTAACTGCCTTCAAAAAATCGATTGTAAAAGTAACAATCGTACTTTGGAAATTGTATATTTCCACATTGGTATAGTACGAATATATTCTCATCGCCTCGCAAACCATATACCCCTTAAGAGGTTTCTATACTCTAGATTTTCTTCTTCCATTTCGTTAATAAGTATTTAAATCATTTATCAATTTAATAATAGCGTCAGCATTTCTTTTTTTTTAAAGAAAATATTCCCTATTCAATAAATTTGGCGTCATTTTTTTCCATGCGTCAAATGCTTTGATACCGATCAATCTCTATATGATTTACGTACATATGAATTAACTGTATGATGTTCAATGAACAATATAAATATTTTATTTAGAATAAATTGATTAATACTACAATTTGATGTGAATAAACAAGATTCTATCGATACTAATAGTTATATAAATCTACAGTTGGCCTAACGTCAACATCATATTCCCGCGCTCACGTAAATATGAATATAAATACAACAATCGAATATTCCAAATATGAGAAAATAATTTCAAAATTTTCTCTCACGATGGATTTTCAATGCTCTTGATAAATTGTTTAGATAATGTAGTTTTTCGGTGAAAAAAATTAAAACTTATAGACGGTTATATACGGTCATATAGCAGAATGATCCTTCTGGGCAAAAAAGTTGCCATATTATTCGCATTTATGATTCTTGAATTCTAAATGAACTGTATCTATATGCCGCATCGAATGATGCCTCAGCCCGAACAACTCACCACACTCTTCGCATTTCCGTTCTTTCAGTTTCAAATAAACAATATCAACAGTGAAATGGATTTTCTCGAAAAAATATTAACTCGATGTTCTGATTTCTTACGATCAAAAATTTATGCTCAAAGATTCCAAGTTTGAACATTAAAAGGTTAATCAAATGTACCATGCTTTTTTCCTGTGTGCGTTATTATAAATAGCTTTTAAGGTTCCCAAGTTCTCAACCAATTGTTTGATGTTTGTGATAGAGTGCGGTTTTACGGTGTGAACGACGTCTTCTGCGGAACAAACTCCAATTTTGTGTACTGCTGTGAATTTTTACAGTGTTAAAGTACTCGTGATTGCTCGCCAACGAGGACCGCTGATGTATACTTGAGTCTGGGTCCACGGCATGCGTACGTAAAGTGTTGAAAAAGACAAAGAAATAAAAAGGACGAGAGATTACGACGATGTGAGATCAGACATTCAGAAAAGAATTTGTAAAATTTATGATGATGAAAATGGAAGGAAAATAATGGATCTTACGTTTTATATAGGAGTGAATGAGAAACAATTTATTTGCGGAATAGGTTTCATTGTTGATTTTAGTAAAATGTGATTATTGTAACTAAATTAGAAAAAATTAGTTAGTGTTGCTTATTTTCAAAAAAATAAAGGTCGATACAAACAAAATGTACAAATAAAGTAAAACCATCTACAATCCTCGAACTAAAATATTACAGTATACATTATCGGTATCACCGAATCCAAACGCTGAGTAAGTTTTGAAGTATTTTTAAGAACTTTGAGCAATAGTAACGTAAGATACAAAACATTGAGTGTCAAAATTGGTGAATTATTAAATTATTCATTGCTTTTTCGGAATCTCCTCGATTGCGATTTGAAATACATTTACATTTGAATTTAATAATGTTCCTTTGAAGGTTTTTTTACAATAGACTATCTTAATGTAATAATTTGGACTCAGATATCCATTGGAAAAGCTCGTTCACTTCAATCGTGCCATGCGCTTAAGTATGAAAACATTTAACACTGTTTGCTTTCGAGGTTTTCGATGTTCTGATGAACTGAGTTCTTAAGTGTATGACAATGTAAATGTTCCTTGCCCATTAAATAATTCTTCAGCCCAAAAAGCTTGACACACTCTTCGCGAATTTGTTCTCTGATTTTGAAATGAACTCGATCTCATTTCCATCATGTCGCACCATGCTGCTCTTACAACTATTTATAACAAAATGCCTTATGCTTGGCATTCTGTAACTGGACCTTATGGCAATGTCCGCATCCAGTTCTCTTTTTGTAACTAAAAACTTCGTTGCACTCCTTACACAGGTACACTTTGCTTCCCATGTGAACTCCATTCAGATGAATGTGATATTTCCACAATGCAAAATAAATCTTTCTGCACCATAGGCATTTAAGACGTACGTCTTCAAATGTATGCGGTGCCATCTTTCTGCTAGTACGACTCTTTCACTACTGCTTCCATATCGAATCTCACGTATACTTTGAACTATGATATTTTGCCGTTGGAATCATGTTTACATCGATCTAGTCGTCACATAACAAATATCGATGTTATTCATAAGCAATATTATTTAGTTATCGAAAAAAATTTTTAAGTCGAAAAAGTCGAAAATTCATCGCTCACAAAGTATATCATTGCAACAAAGAGTTATTTTGAATTAATAACAAGTTTCAAGCGATCAAGTTAAAAGTAACTTTAATGATGAATGAATCTTTCCTTTCTATAGATTTGAAGTATTAATTTGTTTCGTTATTCGATCGTCTGATCAGCAAACATAATTGAACTTACTCACTTTCGATTGTTAAATGTATTCATAGTAGCTCGTAATATTATCATGTACGTAAGAAAGTTGATAGTTTATTTTGATTTCCATTACGTCTACTAGATTCCATTACGTCTACTAGAAGAAAAATTATAGAAAACGAAAATAGTACAATCGTGAGATCTCGGAATTTTTCAGGGATATACAGGATGATAAGAAAAAGGGATAGAAAATAATGTATCATTTTTACACATAAGAGTAAAAAAGTAATATTTCATTTACGACTTTTTACCCATCATTAGTTTTTGAAATAAAAGTTTTGTGCACACATCTTTCACAAAGTTAGTTAATGTTGCATATTTTTACTAAAAATATAGGTCAATAGATAGGATATTATAGGTACAATAAAAACATATCATATGGGCTGTATTAGTGTACTTTTGCGTTTTAAGGATCACCAATTAAAACGTCGAATCAGTTTTTCCGTAATTTCAGGACCGTTGAATAAAAAATAATTTAGGTTACAAAAATTCAATACCAATTAAGTTAAATTAATTGATTAGGAACATTATTAATGCACATTTTACATTATTTTCGAAAATCATACTGTTTGTCATTTGCGATACAGTTGTATTCGTGCTGTATGATGTTCCACTTAAGTTTTTTCATAGCCTTGGCGCAATATTTAGAATCCAGTTATCTATTAAAATTACTCATTCGCTTCAATCATGCAGGTTCGATTATCAAATTGCGCTTGAGTCTGAAGACATTTAACACGGTTTGTCGTATTAACTTTTGATAATCGGCGGACAGCATCCACGTGTGTCATTAAAATATCATTTTGTCTAAAATACTTTTCTGACTCTCCGTTCTATTAATCTTTGATTTTTTCATGAACTGTGGCAATGTGTCTATGCAAGTCATTTTTATTACCAAAAGACTTTTCACATTCTTTGCACTTGCAATCTTTAAGTTTCAGATGAACTAGATCTATGTGCCTTATTAGATGACTCTTTTGTCCAAAAGACTTTTCACATTCTTCGCACTTGTGTTCTTTAAGATTCAGATGAACTAGATCTATGTGTGTTATTAGATTTTCTTTTAGCCCAAAATACTTCCCACATTCTTCGCACATATGCTGTTTGAGTTTTAAATGAACGGTATCTATGTGCCTTATTAGATGACTCTTTTGTCCAAAATACTTTTCACATTCTTCGCACATATGTTGTTTGAGTTTCAAATGAACGGTATCTATGTGCTGCATCAAATTTCTTTTGCATGCAAAAAACTTGACACACTTTTCGCACTTGTGTTCTGTGAGTTTTGAATGATCTAAATCTACGTGTGTCAAGAGATGATTTTTCTGTCCGAATAGTTTACCACACTCTTGGCATTTCTGGTCTTTGATTTCCCGATGAATTGTGTTCATGTGCCTATTCAAATGTGAATTTTGACTAAAAGCTCTTGCACATACTTCGCATGTGTATTCTTTGAGTTTCAAATGAATTGTATCTATGTGCCGCATCAAATTGGCCATATGTTGAAAAAGCTTGCCACACTCCTCGCATTGGTGATTTTTAATTTTTTCATGTACTGTTGCAATGTGCTTTTTCAAACTACTTTTACTACTAAAAACCTTCCCACATTCTTTGCACTTATGTTCTTCAAGTTTCAAATGAACTGTATCTATGTGCTGCATCAAATGATGTTTTTGTCCATAAAATTTGCCACACTCTTTACATTCATGATCTCTGATTTTTTCATGAACTGTATCAATGTGCAAATCCAAGTTTTTTTTGCAACCAAAAGACTTTTCACGCGTCTCGCACGTGAAATTTTTGATTTTCAAATGTACTAACTTCACATGATTCTCCAATTTCTCTTTAGAAATGCAAATCTTACCGCAATCATCGCATCTGTGACGTACTTCGTAATTTTGATTTTCGACTCTGTGCTCTTCCGACGTTTTCATTGTGAAACTATTTCTTTTATTTTTTCTTTTAAATTGTACCATCTATCTGCTAGTACGAGTATTTCACTACTATTCTCGTTTCAAATTTTCTGTATACTTTGAACCATGTGATTTTGCTGAAATTTTGTTTACAGTTGATATTATTTATTGGATCGTTATATTACAAATATCCCTGTCAGTTGAACAAAAAATCCCAAGTCATTTTTATTGAACCTTAAATTTTTCCTTTGCGGGAATTCGTCACTCACAAAATATATTATGGTGACAAGTCAATTTTAATATTGCAGTTATTTTTAATTATACGATTTATTTTATTTCTTTTCTTTCAATCGGACTCAATGAAAATTCGACGATGGGTCCTCTATTTCTTTGTAACGATCTCTGACGTTCGAATTTATTTTGGTTACATTCGATTGTCCTGTCAGCAATAAAATATATATATAATAATTATATATATATAATAAAATCGAGCTCATCCACTTTCTAATATTATATCAATACTCTTACCCCGCGAGCTCACTCCCCCGAAAAATCAGCTCTCGATGTTGATACGGACGCTGCTCTCGCGCACGCATTATAAATTCATCGTGCAAATATAGAAACTTACATAAAATGATAACGAGTGATCGCGTCGAGCGTATATTAAATGTATATACGCATTCACGCGGACAGTCTCGCGGAAACGAGAAAGGCTCGCGCGTGTTCACCCACCATCGCCTGTATCATAAGCGACAGTAGTGCAGCCGCGATCCGATTTTTACGTCTCGCTCGCTGGAGCAGCGACCACCACCCACGTTCAAACTCTCCATTCATGTAGCTTCGCACTTGTGCTTGTGTTTCTGTGCCGCACACTGTATCGCGCGCGGCAGAGGTGACAAAAAGTCGCGCATGTATGTAGACCAAAAGAAAGGAGTCAAGTTCCCTCCTGCAGCGGCGGCGGCGCGGCAAAACCGGAGCCGAGTGTAGGACACTGCGCCGCAGCGTCAAAAATCGCAGCCCCCGCGTGAAAAGCTCCCGCGTAGGCAGTTTATATTATGCGGTGCATTACGCGCGCGCTTTTGCGCTTTTGACGTCGCGCGCTCGCGAGACCTCGAGGAGTAAAGTGTCGCTCGACGCAAAATTACGACTCGATGAAGTTACTCGTATATTATATTTTATATACCATATACGCAGCGACGCAGGATCGGCTTTGCCGCGCGTTACAATTATACGATCGTCCGCGCGAGGGTTTGAGCTATATACTGCCGAGCTCCTGTCGATTTTTGCACTTCGTTTTGTATATACTGCGGCTTGTGTGCGCACAAGAGTGGGATGAGAGAAAAGTCAATTTTATGCGTTGCATTTGAAGGCAAATGACAAGTATATAGAGAGAGAGATAAGCTGCTCGTACGAGTGCACGGATTAAGTGAAAGTTTCGCCTGCGCTTTAACTGTTGACGCTACTCCTGCTGCTGTTTTATGCCCCCGCGCATAATATATGGATAAATAAGTGCAGCATATACCATAGATGTAACAAAATTTTCAGTTAAGCACTATAATTCAGTACGATGAACTCCTCAATGAATGATCAGTTATGTTACAAAATTTTGCTCGGTTCGAACTCTTCGTTAAATCTTTCGATTAATTCGCGTTCTACTCGAACTAATACGTTGTATTATTTTTCTTTTCATCGGAGTGCACGAGACAAGAGATAAAATTATTTTTCACCTTTGCTTCGCAAGGATTATATTAAAGATTTATGAGCGAAAGTTTGATTTACAAACTTATGTATACATTATATGCGAGATAAATGAAATCAATATTTTTGATGAACTGACAATCGATTTTCTCTATTTTATCTTTCGTTTCAAATCGAGTACATCCATTGGGATGGCCAAAATATGTATCGTCCGATCGATATTTTCTATAAACTTCACGTATACTCATGATCTGCATAATCAATTTTTTTTCATTTACACTACGTATAAAATCGAGTGTATCCATTGGGATGGTTGAAATATCGAGGTAAGCTTGCTCCGAAAAATTAAATAACTTGACGGAAACGTATGAGTCGATGATCGGTATACCTTGGTCATGCCATACCAAGATATCCAATAGACATCACCACACAGATTACTGTCGGAACAATAGTTCGATCGTTCGAGTCGCGAATCGATGCGGCGCAAAATAATTTACTTCCGAGTATCGTTATCGAACGATCACGCAGTGAAATAGAGCGATCAAAATACCTCGATCACGCGTTAATCGACCAAATCGTCGATCCGATGCAGCGCCACATTGATCGTTTACTGCGTATATGACGCACGTATAAACTTCGATCTCTATACATACATGAATGCAAGGCATCTCTCGGGTACATATTATGACCCGATTGAGTAACGATCATAAATGCAGTGCACGATATGATATCGTGGCTCGAGCTGCAACGAAAATAACACATCTAAAAAGACGCATGTCGTCGTGCCCCATGCCTCTGTAGACCCGAGGAAATGATCCATTGCACAGCTGTATTACGTGATCTAGCGCGTGCACTTAAGGCTCGACAGTAATATAGCTATTCAGCTGTGTTACATATGAGCAATTCCTTAAAAAAAGAAATTCTTTAAAATTCGAGACTAAAATTTGGATACGAATCTGCATAATAGTTATTTTATGTAACGACTCTATGAAGCCCGATTTATAAGACATTTGAAGATAGCTCTTTCTTATGAATGTATTTTGGCTCGAATCACGTGCATGTGTGACACCACCAGCATTTTGTGTAGAATCGCTCGTGTATCTGTTATGGCGCACGCCGCATGTGTATGATAATTCTTTGTACGTAACGCGCCTCTATGTACACGCAAGTAATTGCACTTGTACCACATACGTATAGTCGTGCCGCTCGTTTGCCTCCAATTCAGTCTCGTTGAAGCTGCTGCTGCGCCCATTATAAATCGCGCTGTTTACATACATAATTCAGACGAAAGAAAGAGACGCTCGATCGTTTGGACCGAGAGTTTACATGCGGTCAATTTTCGCGTAACTATGAGCCGAGATGCGCGTTGAATTTATATTATCGCAAAGTTTACGAATCGTACACTACTTTAAATTAAACGAGCTCGCCAGCAGACCACTTTTTTATATTTCCTCGCACACGTTTGCATTTAATCATTAATTTGATGTATACTTGCATAACAATTGCGAAGTACACTATTTTATGCGTTTCAAGCAAAAATCTGACTAAAGCTCGATAAGTCAATGTGATATACACCTGTTGAACTTTCAAATTCAAATTTTCGGACTTATTCACACTTTTCACACTTCTTTTCATACTCGTCGCATGTGTAATCTTTGCAACCCTCATGGACTGTTTTATGTGACAGAGCGAAGTACATTTATATCTGATTTTTTTTATTATTAAAAAAAAGTGTTCAAATTTTCAAATTTAAATTTTCTTAGACACACAATGTTCAGAAAATAGAAAAGCATAATGATCTTTGCACATTGCATAGCTATATTTTATTTGCACTGCAATGATCAGTCTTTGTCACATGGCCAAAACATAAAAGTTCTGAACATGAAATCAATTTATTATAATCGGTTGAAGTTGAAACTCATCGAAGAAAAATTCATTGATAATAGGCAACAATGTTTAGCCCGAAATATAGCTTCCTCTTTATTACACTTTGCGACATGTCGAATCATCGTGACGGAATGTACTCACTCGGCAACGAGTATTGGAAATATGTTGACTGCACGAATCAAGTTGACAAAAAATAAGCAGAGAAATAAGCAGATTTAGGTTAAGGTAATACGCAATTATTTCGGGAAAATTTTTATTGAAATTATAAAAAAACATATGTATAAGTATGAATACATATTTATAATTGTCAATCATCATTTTTTTCACAATTGTCCTTTATTACATAATCTTTACGTCCTTCGTGAACTGCCCTTTGGTGAATAAGCAAATTCTTTTTGTGTTTGAATTTTTTATCGCAATTTTCACATGCAAAATCTTTACGATTATCATGGACTGTAATTTGGTGTCTGAACAAGTTCCTTCGATCCCCAAATTTCTTTTTACACCTGTCACATGCGAAATCTTTGCGACCCTCGTGAACTGTCTTTAGGTGTATGAGCAAAGACGATTTCAGTCCAAATTTACTTTCGCACTGGTCGCATGCGTAATCTTTGTGTCCGTCATGTACTGTATTTTGGTGGTAGAGCAAACTCGGTTTTTGTGTAAATTTCTGTTCACACTTGTCACATGCGAAATCTTTACGACCTTCGTGAACTGTTTTTTGGTGAACGAGTAAGTTCGATTTTTGTCCAAATTTCTTCTCGCATTTGTCACATGCGTAATTTTTGCGACCCTCGTGAACTGTCTTTTGGTGTATGAGCAAAGACGATTTCATTCCGAATTTACTATCGCATTGGTCGCATTCGTAATCTTTGCGGCCATCATGTACTGTTGTTATGTGCAAGAGCAAATTCGTTTTTTGTCCACATTTTTTGTCACACTTGTGGCACGCGAAATCTTTACGACCTTCGTGGACGGTCCTTTGATGCCTCAACAAATCTGATTTACTTCTAAATTTCTTCTCGCACTTGTTACATCCGTAATCTCTAAACCCTTCGTGTACCGTCTTCTGGTGCAAAAGCAAACTCCATTTACTTCCAAATTTCTTCTCGCACTCGTTGCATGTAAAATCTTTACGACTTTTATGAACTGTCTTTTGATGTTTAGTTAGATTAGATTTTACTCCAAAATTTTTTTCACACGCGTCACAGGTATAATCTTTCCGACTTTCATGAACTGTTCTTTGGTGTGAAAGCAAATTCGATTTTCGTCCAAATTTCTTTTCGCAATTATCGCATGCAAAATTTTTGCAACCATCGTGTATCGTCTCTTTGTGCCTGAACAAATCCGATTTTAGTCCAAATTTCTTCTCGCAATTATCGCATGTAAAATCTTTGCAACCATCGTGTATTATCTTTTTGTGCCTGAACAAATCC